GGCGAACGACGGGGATTGAACCCGCGCATGGTGGATTCACAATCCACTGCCTTGATCCACTTGGCTACATCCGCCCATACCTATCTTTCTATTTTCTATAAATCTCTAGGAAAAAGTATAAAGCTAAAAGAATAAAGAATTAAATCTCTATTTATTCCTCTTTTTATTATCTTATCTTATAATAGAAATGAAGGAAAAATTCAAGGATTTCGCGGAACATACATGAATTTAGTACACCACGAAACGAAAAAAAGTATGTTAATTAATCATGAACGAACCATCCATGCGATAAATGTTGAAGTGAAGTAAATAAACTCGTTGGAATGAATGAAATAATCATATGAATAAAAAACTACTGAATTGAACAGACCAATACCAAATGTCTAAGACATTTGGTATTGTTCCTTCAACGACTCGTATACACTAAGAACGAAGTATTATCCATTTGTAGATGGAGCTTCAACAGCAGCTAAGTCTAGAGGGAAATTGTGAGCATTACGTTCATGCATAACTTCCATACCAAGGTTAGCACGGTTGATTATATCAGCCCAAGTGTTGATGACACGACCTTGACTGTCAACTACGGATTGGTTGAAATTGAAACCATTTAGGTTGAAAGCCATAGTGCTAATACCCAAAGCAGTGAACCAAATACCTACTACGGGCCAAGCAGCTAGGAAGAAATGTAAGGAACGAGAATTGTTGAAACTAGCATATTGGAAGATCAATCGACCAAAATAACCATGAGCAGCTACGATATTATAGGTTTCTTCCTCTTGACCGAATCTGTAACCTGCATTAGCAGACTCATTTTCAGTGGTTTCCCTGATCAAACTAGAGGTTACCAAGGAACCATGCATAGCACTGAATAGGGAGCCGCCGAATACACCAGCTACGCCTAACATGTGAAATGGGTGCATAAGGATGTTGTGCTCCGCCTGGAATACAATCATCAAGTTGAAAATACCAGATATTCCTAGAGGCATACCATCTGAGAAACTTCCTTGACCAATAGGGTAGATCAAGAAAACAGCAGTAGCAGCTGCAACAGGAGCTGAATATGCAACAGCAATCCAAGGGCGCATACCCAGACGGAAACTAAGTTCCCACTCACGACCCATGTAACAAGCTACACTAAGTAAGAAGTGTAGGACAATTAACTCATAAGGACCACCATTGTATAACCATTCATCAACGGATGCCGCTTCCCATATTGGGTAAAAATGCAAACCTATAGCTGCAGAGGTTGGAATAATGGCACCAGAAAGAATATTGTTTCCATAAAGTAGAGAACCAGAAACAGGTTCACGGATCCCATCAATATCTACTGGAGGAGCCGCAATGAAGGCGATAATAAATACAGAAGTTGCGGTCAATAAGGTAGGGATCATCAAAACACCGAACCACCCAATGTAAAGACGGTTTTCGGTGCTGGTTATCCAGTTGCAGAAGCGCCCCCATAAGCTTGTGCTTTCGCGTCTCTCTAGCAGTCATGGCAAGATCTTGGTTTATTCAATCATCAGGGACTCCCAAGCACACAGATTATCTAGAAATAGATAATTTAAGGCTTTTTATTCAACAGTATAACATGACCTATATGCCTGTGTCAACCAATATCGAAGATAGACTAATATTGCAAGATATCTATCTCTAGCTGGTCTATATCTAATTAAGATATCTAGACTCTAGATCTAATCTAGATAGATCTATACGAATGATTCGTAAATGATAAATGAGGTGAAAGACATATGACAGATAAATTGAATTGAGAAGTTATTCAATTCAATAACCAATAACAAAGAAAGAAAAAAAAATTATTTTTCAATATTTTTCTTCCATATGGGAAGAATGGGTTGCCCGGGACTCGAACCCGGAACTAGTCGGATGGAGTAGATAATCTCACTCTTTGAATAAGAGAAAAGGATCTCTCCCTAAACCGTGCTTGCATTTTTCATTGCACACGGCTTTCCCTATGTATACATTTAAAACTCGGTTCCCTAGAAAAAAATATAAGAAACTTGAATCCTAAGTTGATTCAACTACTACTCCATTCCATGAGCAGAGCATTTCAATATTTCAATGAATTAGACTTGTTTATCTATATATTCTTATCTATATAATATATAGATAAGAATATATAAATACATACAATGACCAGTTATGAATACTTTATTATTGACATTTTACATGGTCCCACGATCAATCATCAATGATTGGCCAGACTATGAATACGGATAATATCCAAATACCAAATTCGTCCACTATGGAAAGGGGTTTTTGGAAAAATCAAGGAAAGAATCTCTTGTTCCTCCGTAAGGAATTCGTCCAAGAATTCCGAACCTAATCTTTTCAAAATTGCGCGTACCGTGCTTTTATGTTTACGAGCCAAAGTTCTAGCACACGAAAGTCGAAGTATATATTTTATTCGACACAAACTGTGTTTTTTGTAGGACCCACTGTGATAATGAGAGAGATTTCTGCATATCCGCCCAAATTGATCGAGAATATCAGAATCTGACGAATCGGCCCAGACCGACTTACTAATAGGATGCCCTGATACGTTACATAATTTTACTTTAGCCAAGGATCCAATAAGAAAAATAGTTGGGACTACTGTATCGAATCTCTTGATAACAGCATCTATCATAAATGAATTCTCTAGCATTTCACTCCTTACCATCGAGGGATTTAATCGTAGACCTGAAAGATAGCCCGGGAAATAGAAGGAATGATTGGATAATTCATTTATATGGATTCTGCCCGGTTGAGACCAGAAGTAAAAACGGAATTGCCAGAAATTGACAAGGTGAGATTTCCATTTATTCATAAGGAGATAAGTACCCCTTGAAGCCATAATTGATTTTCCTTTATATCTAACATAATGCATGAAAAGGTCCTTGAACAACCATAAAATATTCTGAGAATGATTACGCATGGATACTACAAAATTTTCTATTTTTCCATAGAAATGTGTTCGTTCAAGAAAAGATCCAAAAGATATCGACCGTAAATGAAAAAATTGTTTACGTAGGAAAACGAAAAGGGATTCAAATTGATATACATGAAAATTGTACAGGAACAAAAACAATCTTTGATTCTCTCTTGAAAAAAAAGAACTGCATTTCTTTGTATTTGTAGTAATGAAACTATTCCAATTCTGATGTTCGTGGAGAAAAAACCGCAATAAATGCAAAGAAGGAAGGTCTCGTATCCATTGGCGAAGGCTTTGAACCAAGATTTCCAGATGGATTGGGTGGGGTATTAGTATATCTAACACATAATTTAAATATGAAAGTTTGTCCTCTAGAAACGGAAATATTGAATGGATAGATTGGAAATTATGAGATTCAGATCCTTTTTCTAGGGAAGATACTAATCGCATCGAGAATGGAATTTCCACAATTACTGCAAAACCCTCTGATACCATTTGAAAATAAGAATTCCTGCTATGCCCAAGAAATCTATTTTGGTTAGAATCATTAAATGAAATGATGAAATGATTCTGTTGATACATTTGAATAATTAAACGTTTTACATTTAGTGAACTGGATTTCTTGTCATGACCTAAATCTTCCATGGGTTCGTAAAGAATTGATCCATTTAAACCATGATTATGAGCAAGTGCATAGATAGACTCCTGGAATAGAAGCGGATATAGGAAGCGTTGTTGATGGGGTCTATCTATTTCTAAATATCCTCGTAATTCCTCCATTGAAAATCCAATTGGTACCGCAAGCAGAAGATATTTTTTAGATTATCAAATGATACATAGTGCGATAGGGTCGGAACAAGCAAGATCTATAATATATGGGAATACCAATAGAGACCCCGGGTAGTCTAATCGACGGGTGCTTTCTTTTTCCATCCAATTTTTTTTGTGCTCCTTATGCTATAGTTACAAGAGATGGTGTATTAGCAATCCTTTATTTTGGCAACCTAATCGCTCTTCTGATTTTGGAATGAATATTCTTTATCAGTACACTGTTTCTTATACACATTTGTCTCTACTCCAGCAGCTTATGGAAAATAGTGAATAGTTAGGATTCGTTTTTGAAAAAAAAAAGAATTGACGATCCACTCACAGGAGAACTCTTTCCCGCACCAGGTACTAATCCCTTTTTAACGTCTAATTAGATCGGGTACTCGTTCGAATTAAGAACGGAAGTTCGTTGCTTTTTGTTTCCCTATAACTATTAAGATAAGAATATAATTAATTTTTAATTGGAGCCATATAGCTCTATCCATTTCTTCACTCGACCCAACTGTAAATTGATTTGGTTTCGTTCCAAGAATGAAAACAAGATTTTGTACAGATCCGGTATGAACAAATAAGAATGAAGATTTGTAGAGTTATCCATGGATGCGACATGCTCTTTTTTCCATTCATTCCCTTTCAGGATCAGTCGTGGTCTTACAAACCCTACCAATGGTATGGATGAATCCGTTGCTTCATCCAAATGTGTAAAAGATCATAGTCGCACTTAAAAGCCGAGTACTCTACCGTTGAGTTAGCAACCCAGAAAAAAATAAAAATACGGTACTAGACACGATCGAAATGAAACAATAAAGAAATTGGATTGCTCAACTCAGAAAAAAAGCATTGAACTAGCAGCAAGTCAAGTATAGAAAAGGCGTATGATTATCGATGATGAACATCAAGATGAAGAGATCAGATAAAAATATAAAAATACAGGCGGATTCACAGACAGTTATACATGTCAAAATTGATAGACCAATAATAAGAATCCTTGAATTGAATTAGAATCCTTGAATTTTTTCTTTCTTATTTCTTTTTTTTTTCATACTTTACTTATTCATTTCATTTATTTCAAACATTTCAAATTTATTGAATTAAATATATTCTATGTACATATTGATTGTATATATTCTATTACTTAATAGACCTTTTCTATTTATTTAATTGATAATTGAATATTTTCATTCTTTTATTTTAATTCTTTTAATTTATATACCTTTAAACCCCGAATATTTCTCTATTTGAATATTTCTCTATTTGAATATTTCTCTATTCTAATTCTATTATTCTAATATTCAACTATTAGATATTAGAAATGGAATAAATATAAATTGAATAAATAAATTGAATAGAATATTCAAATAAAATAATTCAATTCAATATTTCAGTTCTATATTAGAATTAGATTCTTATTCTACTTTTCTTTTTATATTTTTTTTTATTTGAATTCAAAATATCAAAATATTCCTTTTATTAATATTTCTTAATATGTTGAATATCAATTCCATTAAGAATAAAAGATATTTATTGCGTCTGTGATAGTGGATAGGGCCAACCAATTGTTTGAGTGAAGTAAAGGATCGAACTAAACTTATGGACCGGAGGAAATAGATCTGTTTATCTACGATCGAATTATATCGGTTGAATACACCATTGTCAATATGAATGTTGGGAAAAATAAAATAAATAAGACATTGTCTTAAATTGGTACTACATGGATAAAAAATAGAATGTGGCTGGAAGAATAAATCATAAATAATAAAAAAGGTAAGGAAAAATAGAATAATAAGAATAAATAGTAAGATTCATACTAATACATTTATAACTATTTAATTTTGATTATTATATTCTTTTTTTTTTATTTCCATTTAATTTTAATTTCTATATTCTTTTATTTTATTACTTATTAATCTATTCTATATCTATAGAATTCTATAGAAAAATAGAATTCTATAGAAAAATACAAATTTCTTACAAAATCCAAAACATACAAAACAAATATTTACAAATACAAATACTGTACAAATATTCAAATTCATATTTCATATTCATTAATAAGAAATTAATAATAAATAAGAATTTACTGAACATTCATAATAAATGTACTGAATATTTTCATTAACAATTAATTGATTAATTATTGATTAATAGAAAATCAAATTAGAATTGAAATAATTAAAATATAAAAAAGAGAAATAAAAAAGAATTCTAAAAATTCTAATTTGTATTAATGGAAAAGGGTTCGTTGTGCTTAGCTTATACGATATTGGATCATATGAGATCCGTAGTGAATAGGTATGAATAGAGAAATAGAAAAAAGGGGAATGGTGAAAAAACAATTGAACAAAGCTAGATACTGGTCACTCTTTTATGAATTTCATTTGATTAACTCCAAGTTATTTAAATACCTCCGCCTTCTTTGAAATATCATGAACAGTTACTGTAGGCTGAGCTCCTTTTTCAAGGAAATATAGAATAGCAGGAACGTTTGAATAAGTTTGATTCTTTATTGGATCGTAAAAACCCACTTTCCGAAGAGCTCTTCCGTCTCTTCGGGATCTAACATCAATTGCAACGATTCGATAAATGACTCATTGGGATAGATGAATAACACCCCCCCTAGAAACGTATAGGAAGTTTTCTCCTCGTACGGCTCGAGAAAAAAGGAATTCAATTTATGTATTGTATTATGGCATGGCAAATGCATCCATAAAATCATCAATTGGATTATGATTTGAGTCGTCTTTTTTCGCCATCCTTTCTAAAAACTAAAAAAAAAATACTACCATTCGTACTCATAACTCAAGTTGGGTAATTCTGAAAGATCTCGAAGGGAGACCCTTCAACATTTATTTATTTATTGAGACGTCTCTAACCTTTTTCCTTTGTCTCATCTAAGATCATTCTAGTTGTTGAGACAATAAGAATTGAAAATGGCATTTCCTTGTTCTGAGATCCCATATCTTTGAATCATTAGGTTTAGACATTACTTCGGTGATCCTTAATCGTTCCGAAACGACAGCAACATGCCTTTTGGTATTTCTTTACGTTGAAGAATCATACGAATGATTGATTTCCCCGTAATACACTTTTGATCGAAAGAGTTTCGGCAATTTCAACAACTTTGCTTTTTTATTTGAAACTTGTTAGAATTTGACCCCCTTTCGAAGATCTATTTACGAAGTTGTTCCAACTTATTGATTGGGACTAACCCTAGATCCTGACCCCTGATCAATGAATCAATATTTGACTTTCTGCTCGAGCTCCATCATGTACTATTTACTTATTAAATTACAACCCAATAAGAGCGGGTCCTATCCTCGTGGAACAGAACAAAGGATGTTGAGTCAAGAGCATCTTCATTCATATATAAAATGGTGGATTAATCCACAGCCGATCATGTCGTTCAAGTCGCACGTTGCTTTCTACCACATCGTTTCAAACGAAGTTTTACCATAACATTCCTGATCCTAAATTTAGAACCGGTATGAAATTTTGATTCAATTTCAATATGGAATCATGAATAGTCATTGGTTGAATTGGTTTGGTACTGGTACATAGTACATAGTTTTTATTACACCCACCTAATTTATCCATAGACATGGATAGGTACCTATCTGGAAGTATCAGCAAGGATCCAATTTGACCCGATTCTATCGTATGAAGGAAATCTATTCTATAAAATAAAAAAAAAAAAAGAAATCAAAGACATTTATGATATGAGATAAACAAGTTGCTTAACACTTATTTTTTACCAGATTCCGTTCGGGACAATCAGTCATGAAGGGTTCGATTCTTTCTAGAACGACGAACGATTGAATTGGATTCCCAATACCGGAACAGAAGGAGTCATTAACTGAATAAGCTAAGCTATTCCAGTTATCCGGAAGGAAAGAAAGGCTGCAAGTGGGATGTGATATATTCACCAATCCCACACTTCTTCCAATACCGAGGATTTTGTAGATATTTCAATTATTGGCGAGACGCCGAATTTTATCATCCTAACATAAATAGAAATCTATGTTTCTTTTCCAATTGAATCATCAATCAGAATCGGGGCAGTATGATCCCTCGGGTACACGTTATTCTATATACTATATAGTTATAGTATAGCTATATTCTTATCTTAATATTCTTATTCTATCGTAGTATATTCTACAATATGGAATATGGATTAGAATCATTCTATATAACTATTAGATATGAATATTCTATGTAGTGTAAGTAATAAAATAAATATTCAAATTGTATATTACAACAACGATACAATAGAATCTAAGAAATAGAAATAAGTAATAAACACAATAACAGTTAAACAAAACAATACTGAAATAATATTCAATTAAAGAAACAATATTCTGTAATTATTATTCTTATATTTATTTATACTTTAATTTGATTATTTGATTTGAATTTTGATAAAATAGAAATATTAAAATAGAAATAGCTATTTTTTAGAAATAGATATTTTTGATTTGAAATAATCTAATTCATACATATTTATATATATGTAGCCATAGTCTTATATATATACTGTATTAGTATATATTAGGTGTTTGATGTTTCATATTTATATTACTTAATATAACATATTCTATAACATATTGTAGAATGAATCTACATAGTATAGAATATGAAATATCCTCAACAACAATATAATAAATTGAAGGGAAGATATGACTCAGAGAAGAATTATTAGAAATAATAAATAAAAATCATAAATTCGGATTAGATCACATTGTATCCAATATGAAATATGAAACTCTTAAATATAAAGAAATAGAAGATTGATTTTTATGTTAATTAAGTGTTAATTAAAGAGAGGATATCGATTCTGCTAGAATTGGTCTGGGACGGAAGGATTCGAACCTCCGAATAACGGGACCAAAGCCCGTTGCCTTACCGCTTGGCCACGCCCCATTTCTATTTCTATTTGACGGTAATAAACACTAATATCGGTATTGGTTGTTTGTCAATTCCAGCCCATATATCTATGGAATAGGTTGTTGCTCGGATTCAACACGTGTAGAATAAAAATGAATTCATTGATGATTATGTATTAATTCAATTACAATTAAGATATTCTATGAAACTAAGATTTTGGTTCCTTAGAATTCTAATTTAGAATTAGAATTGAATTCAACAATTGAAGGATCTTTGATTTGATTCAGGTTCAAAGAAGGATTTTTTAGACTACCTTCTTTATCTTTATTTTCTTTTTTCCCTTGTATCAAAAAATCAATAAAAATGAAATTATCTCCAAGAAAAAAATGTTTGTTATGCCTAATATCTTCAGTTTGATCTGTATCTGTCTTCATTCTGCCCTTCATTCGAGTGGTTTTTTCTTCGCGAAACTGCCCGAGGCCTATGCTGTTTTCAATCCAATCGTAGATGTTATGCCGGTCATACCTTTGTTCTTTTTTCTCTTAGCCTTTGTTTGGCAAGCTGCTGCAAGTTTTCGATGAGATCTTTGATACTGCTTTAGAAACATAGATTTCTAATTTACTCGAGAAAATATTTTGACAATTGAGAAGATGAGATAAGTGTTGCATTATGAACCTTTGATTCAAATATTGAACATTTTGGATAGCCGCGATGAATCTCGATCGTCTGGTTTCCTCATTATAATTCGAATCCTCCATGGAGGAATAATTCTGGTCCAACACAATACCAAATTTTAGGCATGACGAGATCCTTTTGTTAACGAAGGAATAAAAGTCTTATTCCAACTAGATTCTTGCAAATTCTTTTCTAGAAATAACTTCATTTCTTCCTCTCTTGGTGTCAAAAGGGGGATATGTGGTACTGGTACAAAGATTGATAATCTATTCCCTTTTTCTTCTAAAAACCATCTTGGAGATTGTGTAATGCTTACTCTCAAACTGTTCGTTTACACAGTAGTGATATTCTTTGTTTCTCTATTCATTTTTGGATTCCTATCTAATGACCCAGGACGTAATCCTGGGCGTGACGAATAAAGAATAAGAGGTTTTTTACTTGCTTGGTTCCTAAAATTTGATTTCTTCCATACATTTATCTGTGAAAAAAAGAAAAAAAGATCGGGTTTCGAATTCAAAAGAGAAATCTCAAATCATCAGAGGGAACGGAGAGAGAGGGATTCGAACCCTCGGTACAAATAGCTCGTACAGCGGATTAGCAATCCGACGCCTTAATCCACTCAGCCATCTCTCCCAATTGGATTGGAAAAGGAGAATTCATAATGTGACGCGTGAAGTAAAGATTGATAAGAATCTTTTTTATATAAAAAATAACAATAACAATTTGAAACTTAAAACTGAGATTTTCAAAAGAAAAAGAAGAGGTATCCTTTCTTTTTCTTATTTCGCTCGAAAAGTTATTTTGTTCCACGGCCTGGCCAGTACCTAGGCCAGGCCATTCCTTTTTCTTGTTCCAATGAATGATAGATCAAATGATTTACCTGATCCAAAAACTAAAAAACTTTCCTTGTTTTTATTGAAACAGCTTTTGTTCTTGTTTCACTCTTATAGACTCTATTCTAGAATAGAATATGAATCTCTTTCTCATTTATTTACTTTCATTCTATAGATTCTATTCTATTTACTATATTCTTTACTTTACTTTACTTTTTTTTTCTTTTTTTTTTTCAAGAGACAAACCTTGTAGAAATGCCTGAGTCCGCATCATACTATGATTTGATTTCTGATTTCTTTTCTTTTTTCATTATAATTACAATTACATTCATTATTTACAATTACATTGATTAGTAAGAATAAGAATTCATTCTATCATTAATTAATGAATTTTATTCATTCTAATATTCTCTCATTCTAATCTAATTATTAATTCTATTCAATTATATACAAATTGAATTTGTAATTCAATTTTTCTTTATATATTAAAATTCTATATTCTAAATATTTTCTATTCTAAAAAAATATATATATATATATATGAATATGAAATAATAGAATATATATGGAATATATAGAAGAATAGATCTATTAAGAAAATAAATTCTATTTCTATAATTAATTAATTGATAAAAAATGAATTTATGAATTCAATTATTTCTATTCTAACTATTCTAAATTAGAATATAGAATTTCTTGATATTCTATTTATATTAGAATTATAGAAAAATGAAATTTCAATTCAAATATTAATATTATAAAAAATATTAATATCATATTTTGATTCTTTTACTTTTAAAGAAATTTAAAATAAAGTTATTATTTATTATTATTTAAAGTTATTTATATTTATTTTATATTCTTATTGATTGTTTATTGTAAAGTAAATTACTTATTACTTATAAATTATAAAGTAAGAAATCTAATTCTAATTAGAGAGTAGTATACTAATAGTATTAGGATATAGGTGTAAATGAGATTTGAAATATTCAATTTCATATTAAGAAATACATATAAATTAATACATATAAATTAAGTATTAAGTAAAGTAAATAAGTATTAAGTGAATTAAAGGAAAGGAAATTCCATTTGAAATGAAATTTTTCAATGAGGGTAAGAAGGAAGAAGATAATGGGAGTACGAAGATAGGTCCAATTGATCCGAATTCATAAGAATCCAAAGAGGGAGGAGACGGAAGAAAAGATACATACGATTCAAGTCCCAATCTTGATAAAAAAACACTTTTTGATAAAATATAAAAGAAAAGAAAATCAAGGGGAAGTTGCACGAAAATGGAGCTATGGATTCTTGCACAACTAATTTCTTGTTCCGGCTTCAATGGTTCCATCATAGCTTTCAGTAAGGGCTCCTTCAGCAAAAAAAGGAATACTTTCTTATCTTTTCTTTTTGAAATCTTAGGTTTCTTTCTTCTCCTCTTTCATCAAATACCCCTGAGGACACATCAGAACTCAAATTTTCATTAGTCTTATTCCACATGTCTTAGTTCGACAAACGATCCATTCCTATACAATAATCACATTGTAGCGGGTGTAGTTTAGTGGTAAAAGTGTGATTCGTTCTGTTACCAAACAAAAAAGTTAAGGGTCCCTCGGTTTGATTCCGATTCCGATCAAAAACTTTATTTCTTAAAAGGATTGAATCCTTTCCTGTAAATGCCACTATTGAGGAAAAAATATACATTCTCGTGATTTGTATCCAAAGGGAAATAGAAATAAAAAAAAAAAAAAGAAAAAAATTGTTTGGATTATGGAATTGCGAAGCATAATTGTTTTTAGTTTTAGCTGGATTCGTCCTTCCAATTGGATGAGTATGAGTAAGGGATCCATGGATGAAGATACAAAAATCTATTTCTAATCGTAACTAAATCTTCAATTTTTGTAAAAGAGAGATTGAAGCCAAATAGCTATTCAATGATGACTTTAGTTTACTAGGGGCATCGGCATGGAGTTTCGGCTCGGTGGAAATAAAATCTTTTCCTCAGGATTCTTACGAATAGAAATAGGGAACGAAGTAACTAGAAGTATTTGTTCAAATCCCTCTCTCTTCTAGAGGGATCATCTAGAAAGCGAGTATCTTTGGACACATTCATACAGAAAAGCTGACATAGATGTTATGGATTGAATAAAAAAAAAAAAAAAGAATTCGGATTTGCTATAACTCCCTTCTTTTCCGTCCATTAAAAGATGTTTTTTTATTTTTATCTAGTTTCCTTGCTTTACGCAGTGAGAATCTATCCATCTTCATAAAGGAGCCGAATGAAACCAAAGTTTCATGTTCGGTTTTGAATTAGAGACGTTAAAAATAATGAATTAACGTCGACTATAACCCCTAGCCTTCCAAGCTAACGATGCGGGTTCGATTCCCGCCGCCCGCTCCCTCCATATCCCTCCATACATGATAGATCATTGATCTTTATATACATCTTTATTCCATAAGATTCCCGCACGGAATACAATCAACTGGATTATGTTTTTATCCGAAGGGATGACGGGAAAAGAGGAATGGGAGGGAAAGAAGAGAATCAGAATCAAAAGCGTCCATTGTCTAATGGATAGGACAGAGGTCTTCTAAACCTTTGGTATAGGTTCAAATCCTATTGGACGCAATTTATTTCCATCTATTTTTTTGTTTCGATTGCAAACAAATTTTGAATGATTCAAATCAGAAATAGAGATCTTTCTCAACGATTCCTATTGTACTAAAAGACACCTCAAAATAATCAATGAATTCATTGATTTATGTTTGTTCCTGAAATAGAAACAGTTCTATCTGTTCCTGAATAGCTTCTTTCAGAATGGCTTCTGCTTCCTCGGTGAACGTCCGGGTAGAAGATATGATTTCTTGGAACTGAGGCTTATTTGTTCTTAAATAAGTACGTAACTGAACGAGAAATTTCTTCACCTGTCCAATTTCTAATGGATCAAGATACCCATTCGCTCCTGTATAAATAGTAACTACCTGTTCTTCCACCGCGAGAGGGGCTGCTTGGGATTGTTTGAGCAACTCGCGCAATCGTTGACCTCTTGCCAATTGATTCTGAGTAGCTTTATCGAGATCAGAAGCGAATTGTGCAAAGGCTTCTAACTCTGCAAATTGAGCCAGTTCCAATTTTGATTTGCCAGCTACTTGTTTCATAGCTTTAATTTGAGCTGCGGATCCTACTCTGGAAACGGAAATACCCACATTAATAGCAGGCCGGATTCCAGCATTGAATAGATCGGCAGATAAGAAGATTTGTCCATCTGTAATGGAAATTACATTAGTGGGAATATAAGCCGAAACGTCCCCAGATTGAGTCTCAACTATTGGTAAAGCAGTCATACTTCCTTCGCCTAAACGAGAACTTGATTTAGCGGCTCTTTCCAAAAGTCGGGAATGCAAATAAAAAACATCTCCTGGATAAGCTTCGCGACCAGGCGGTCTTCTTAATAGAAGAGACATTTGGCGATAAGCTTGTGCTTGTTTAGAGGGATCATCATGAATTATTAAAGTATGTCGTTCACGGTACATAAAATATTCAGCCAAGGCTGCTCCTGTATAAGGAGCGAGGTATTGTAATGTAGCAGGTGAATCCGCCGTTTCAGCTACCACAATAGTGTATTCCATTGCTCCTTGTTCCTGGAAAGTAGTCACTACCTGAGCCACGGAAGATGCTTTTTGACCAATAGCTACATAAACACATATTACATTTTGCCCCTTTTGATTCAGAATAGTATCTGTAGCTACGGCTGTTTTACCGGTCTGTCTGTCCCCAATAATTAATTCTCGCTGACCGCGTCCTATAGGAATCATGGAATCAATAGCAATAAGACCTGTTTGAAGAGGTTCATATACGGAACGTCTCGAAATAATACCTGGTGCGGGGGATTCAATTAACCGAGATTCGGAAGATGAAATTTCACCTCTCCCATCAATAGGTTTAGCCAGAGCATTTATAACACGACCTAAATAAGCCTCACTCACTGGTATCTGAGCAATTCTTCCTGTTGCTTTTACAGAACTGCCCTCTTGTATCATTAAACCATCACCCATTAATACAACACCAACATTATTGGATTCCAAATTTGGAGCAATGCCTATTGTACTCTCTTCAAATTCTACTAATTCGCCCGCCATTACTTCATCAAGACCATGAATACGAGCAATGCCGTCGCCCACTTGAAGTACAGTGCCAGTATTGACAATCTTTACTTCTCTATTATATTGCTCAATCCGTTCACGGATAATATTACTAATTTCGTCAGCTCGAATGGTTACCATTAGTGTCTCTTAATTCTTTTTCGGAAGCAAAACAAGGAAAAATCAAAAGAAAAAAAAAAAAAATAATGCCTATGGTAGCGGTAAACTAATCAGTTATATTTTTCATGGTCCCGAGCATGCCAATATTAGCACTGATGGTGCGTAAATGTAACTCGCTGTTCAAATAACTATTCAGAGTTTCTAGAGCTCCTTGCAAGGCTTGTTGGAAAACTCGCTGTCGGACCTGATTCATCGCTCTTTGTTGTTCAAAATGAATGCTTTCATTTTTGTAATTTTCTAATCGTTCTAAATTTTCATAAGCAGCATTAATCAAATTACTTTTTTCTCGTTCTATCTCAGAGTATCCATTCACTCGAAACTCATCTGCTTCAATTTCCACTTTCCGTAAGCGAGCCCGGGCTTTTTCAAGCTGCTCAATGGCTCCCCCACGTAGTTCTTCTGAATTGCGAATCGTACTCAAGATTCTCTGTTTTCGATTATCTAATAAATCACTTAATGAAAGTAGATTGTCTCCATATCAATTCCACAACTTCTATGATCTCTTCCCGAACCGAACATGAATCTTTCAATTCATTTGGCTCTCACGCTCAGTTACTTATGGGACACTCCCGTATCTTTTAATGAGCCTACCCTCTCTCTTCGTCTTCTAAGATATCGAAACTGATACAAGACCAGGATCCCCGGAGGGCTCTTCCGACCAGGTAACTGTCAGGAAAGTCGTTTCTTTTATTTGATTATCTTTAAATCCAAAGAATTTTTATTCTACATAGGTCGTCAATTCAGCATTGGATAAAAAAAGTCGGAGTGCCCATTTTTTTTACAGTGAATGGTTCACAATTATTTTATCGATATGAGTGTTCTATATCGGATAAATTACCAACTCTTCGTTTTGAAACCATCTCTACGAATGCAGTGGTAGAAAGAGTACCCCGTTGTGCCTGGACTTCAAACTTTAACTTTAACCATGTAAAGGGTCCTACATTATTGGATTGGTTGATAGAGAATCAAAGTGAATTTACCAATGAGTCACGAAATGCTATAGTTCCTACATATGATTTCTTTATTTATTCAGAAGTAATTCGTCGGGATCATGCACCTTAATTCTTTTTTTTTTTATTTATTATTTTATAACTTATAACATCATTTATAATATGATTATTATAATTATTAAATTATTAGTATATAATTATTATTATTAAATTATTAGTATATAATTATTATTATTAAATAAAATAGAAGTATATAAGTATAAAGTATATAAGTATAAGTAATTTTTATTATTTAAATTATTACTATTTTAATTTAATTTCTTTTAATTTAGAATTTAGTAGAATCGAATTTCTGTTCTAGAGATAGAAATATTTAGTTATTAGAATATTTCTTCTAATTCTAATAATATAAAATATAAGAATTTCTATTCTATATTCTATATTTTAATTTTAGATATTTAAATTGAATTTAAATTTTAATTCTATTTTATTTCATTTTTATTTTTATCATTTTAGAATTATTCTAATTTTAGATTAGATTAGAAATAATATATAAATATAAAATTAGAATTAATTATGTAAAATGTATAAAAGAAAAAAAAAATATGAAAATGAGATTTTATAGATTTTCTTTTATTTTATAGTTTTCTTTTTCTTTTATAGTTATAGTATAGTAAAGAAATAAAATATATATAATTCTAATAGAAATTAGAAATGAGAATGAGTAAAGTGCAGCTGGTAGGATCCAACCTATTCTTGAAATAAACAACTCGCACACACTCCCTTTCCGAAAAAAATCAACACACCAAGCACCACACTTAGATTTATTGGATTTGTTGCAAAAATATCGGTATTAAATCCGAAACTTCCGGCAGATGGCCAGTGGCCCAAGGAAACGAAAGAGTCGGTTACATTTTTCATATACTCTCCTCTTCTAGATAGGACTAACAAAACCAAACGGAGTTCTTTTTGTATCACTTCACCCCATATCTTATTTTTATTTAATTGAAGTTCCCGATAAGATACTTCATTAGGTCAGGTCCCGGGTCTCGTATCATTTTGGAAATACCTCGCGCGTTGCAACACTCCGAAAAGTTGTTTCCTTTGGACTAAGAGCGGGAAGGAAGAGAACGAGCGGATCTGCTAATTCCTCGAATAAGTCCTTACCCCGGGGGGGATTGTCTCAAAATGAATAATTTATTGTAGGAGTGAAGTGTTGATATAATTCGAAGAAGTGGCAAGGCCAGGGTAATAGGTATATTATGTCTTTTTAGGATTAAACAAAGGGATTCGCAAATAAAAGCGCTAATGCCACGACCAGTCCGTAAATTGTTAAAGCTTCCATAAAAGCCAGGCTAAGCAATAAAGTACCTCGTATTTTACCCTCTGCTTCTGGTTGTCTCGCGATACCCTCTACGGCTTGACCCGCAGCAGTACCTTGACCGACTCCGGGTCCAATAGAAGCAAGTCCTACGGCCAATCCAGCAGCAATAACGGAAGCAGCAGAAATCAGGGGATTCATGGTAAGCTCCTCGTACCAAAATTAAGAAATGGTTAATGATACAATCAACTAATTAATTATTTTATTGCTCATTATTCCATCACTAAGATCCATATGATCGAAGTAACTAATAACTCTGAATTGAAATGATGATATTACTGTCAGATGGAAATCCATTTGGTTCTAGTTCTTCTATTTCTTTGTTCTGTTCCCGAACCTTTCTTTCAATTCTTCGCTCTTTCTCCTTTATATGCATATGATTTGATTGATTTTATCTGATCTGTTTATTCATTCAATCCACAGTCACAGGAAGAGCTTATATCAGAATCTATCTAATTTGGTTTGGTGGGAAGTGGGAAATAGAAAATTACACTATATGGATAGTCCATAACGGATCGTCCATATATAACTAATGACTAATGAGTATCTAATATCACATATACATGTGTCTCTTCCATAATGTAAACCATCCGCATCTTAGTCTTATTCTTATATAGAATAGAATTGGATTTTATAGAATTGGATCGTATCCTAGAATCATTCCTAACCCACTTTGAATCTTATTCGTATTCGTAAACTCCTCCTTTTCTTTATCAACACACGGATACAAACGGACAGATCCATCAGCTTGAATCGTCACACATCAAAATTCACTGGATCCGATTGCAATTAATTACAATTTTCGATCAATCGTTGATTGAATAGAAGGAAACCAAATGAAATGAGAACGGTTAATGGTTACATATACATGGAAGTAGAAGTAAGTTCTTTTTTTTTGTCGCATGTCGCAAACAGATAACAATTGTTATTCAAATTATGACATGAATGGGACAAATGGGGATCTTAGGAAAAAGACTTTTTAGGGTTTTTCCTTTTTGTTTGCTTTTAGAATTCCGCAATATCGTACATATCTCTTTCTACCATTCTATATCGTATGTACCGTAGATTGCCGTATCTATCATGTTCCCCAACCCCAAGGGGTCTCTTTAGCCACCCATGAATTGGAATAAGATTCATGGGCTTTTTCATTTTTATTTTAAAAAGGACTATTTTGATTGTGATTGATTTTGAAAGTTATTCAATGATGACCCTCCATGGATTCGCCTATATAAGCCGCGGCTAAAGTTGCAAAAATCAAAGCTTGAATACCGCTTGTGAATAATCCGAGGAACATGACAGGTATAGGAACCAATGAAGGGACTAAAGAAACAAGAACAACAACTACTAATTCATCAGCCAATATATTCCCAAAAAGTCGAAAACTAAGTGATAAAGGTTTTGTGAAATCTTCTAAGATATTAATTGGTAAAAGTATGGGAGTTGGTTGAATATATTTACCGAAATAACCCAATCCTTTCTTGCTAATACCTGCATAGAAATATGCCACTGACGTGGGTAAAGCTAAAGCAACAGTAGTATTTATATCATTTGTAGGTGCAGCTAACTCCCCCTGAGGTAACTCTATGATTTTCCGAGGTAAAAGAGCGCCGGACCAGTTAGAAACAAAAATAAATAGGAACATAGTTCCAATAAAGGGAACCCAGGGACCATATTCTTCTTCTCCAATCTGAGTTTTGGTCAAGTCTCGAATGAATTCAAGCACATATTCGAAGAAATTCTGACCGTCGGTCGGAATGGTTTGTGGATTCCGAACAACTATAGTGGCTGAACCTAATAAGATAGCAATTACGACCCAAGAAGTTATAAGTACTTGGGCATGGACTTGGAAACCCCCAATTTGCCAATAGAAATGTTGGCCTACTTCCACACCGGATAGATCGTATATCCCTTTTAGTGTGTTGATGGAACATGGTAGAACACTCATATTACCCCCTGACAGAAATGAAACTTAAGTTAAGAAGGAATTATTTTGATTCAATCATCTCTTTCTCGACTCTCCTACTTTGGCTTTGACTTTGCTTTGACTTTACTTTAATCGCATAGTATATTCCGGATACCCAGTAAGAAGTAATCAGATATCATGACTATTGATTTGAATCTCTTTTTCCAGATTCAGGAATAGTAACCGATTCAATAAATTCTTGATTTACCGAAATAATTGACTTATCTTATTATAATTGACTTATCTTATTTTTAATCAATGACTTCCTAGATAGCTATAATGACCCTCACGAATTGCCAATACTAATTTGTTAAGAATCAATTGGATTGAAGCTATAGCGTCATCGTTGGCTGGAATCGGAATATCTGCGAGATCCGGATCACAATTTGTATCGATTAAACAAATCGTCGGAATACCCAAAGTGAGGCATTCTCTAATAGCCGTATATTCTTCTTGGTGATCCACGATGATTACAATATCGGGTAACCCCGTCATATATTTGATCCCGCCCAGATATGTTTGCAAGTGAGATAATTGTCTCTTCAACATTGCCGCATCTCTTTTCGGGAGACGCTTAAATCGACCCATCTTTTGTTCTGCTCTCAAGTCCCTGAACTTATGAAGTCTTGTTTCTGTAGTGGACCAATTCGTTGACATACCACCAAGCCATTTTTTATTGACATAATGACACCGAGCCCGTATTGCAGCTGATGCTACTGAATCGGCTGCTTTATCTTTCGTACCTACTATTAAGAAGTGCTTTCCTCTACTTGCTGCATCAAAAACTAAATCGCAGGCTTCTGATAAAGGACGAGCCGTTCTAGTAAGATTTGTAATGTGAATGCCTTTACGCTTTCCAGAGATATAAGGTGCCATTCTAGGATTCCATTTCCTAGTACCATGACCAAAATGAACCCCTGCTCCCATCATCTCTTCCAAATTGATGTCCCAATATCTTCTTGCCATTTCTACCCACACTTCCTCTTTTTTTTCAGGAATGAGGTACCCTGAAATCTGAAATATAGAATTGTTCCTACGGAACCTTATACCGGGGATGGACCGTTGATACATGGTCCAAGCCATTCACTCCTTTCTATTCCTTGATTAAATTGAAATTCAATTCAATTCATTATCAAACGACTGTATAATCTGTAACTGTATAATAATAATATAATATAGATAAAATAATGAATCCGCTCTTATGAATCATTAAATCCCATAGAATTATTGTTCTGATGTATCATGAAAATTCTTTGGGATGCACGAACCACAAAATTCTCTGTGGTAGAACAAAATATCTCTCATCTTCCCATCGAATAGATTCTTCTTTTTTATTTCCAAAGAAATGTTGTTGTGTTCCCTGGAGTGGTGAACGAATCCTTTGAATCCGGTACCAACAGGTATCATCCCCCCCAGAACAACATTCTCTTTCAGGCCTTTCAACCAATCAATACGACTTCGGAGAGCGGCTTTCGCTAAAACCCGAGTGGTTTCTTGAAAACTCGCTTCTGATATGAAACTTTGAGTATTCAGAGATGCCCTCGTTATTCCCAATAGAATAGCTCGGTAACATATATCGTCTTCCAAAGCACGACCTATTCTTTCTGCTCGCAACAATCCGATTAGTTCTCTGGGTGAAAAAACATTAGACATTCCATCTTCTGAAACCAAGACTTTTGATGTTATTTGTCGTACAATAGTTTCTATATGCCTATTATGGATCTGCACCCCCTGGGATCGATAAACCTTTTGGATCTTATTAACCAAAGAGATACGACTTTGCACTATGGTTAGCTGAGCACTAATAAAGAATTCCCAGGGAATTCCAAGAAATCCTGTTATGCGTTCGTTCCAGCCTTCAACCCTCTTTTCTAGGTTCATCGATATTGAATCAATCGAACGAACTTCTAACACTTGTTCAACTTTTGGAAGACCTTGAGTTATATCACCAGATCTTGATTTTTCATATATAAAAGTAACTAATGTATCTCCCTCGTAAAGGATTTCTCCATAATGACCATGAACGGTTGCTCCGCGGGTAGCCAAATGGTACTTAGCTAATCTTATTACTAAAGAGTCAACATGAACAATTATAATTTGACCAGATTTTACGCATGGTCCGTCTTTGGATATACATATATTTTCACAAAGAAACTGTCCAAGGCTAATTATTGTTGATGTATCTTCCCAATAATCGTGATGGAGAAAGCACCAATTCAAATTGAATGGAGTCAAAATGATGTTACTGCATGGATCAAGATTATAAATCCTTCTATTTTCATCCATGAAATAAGATTTAGGTACTAGGAAAGTCTCTCTTGAATTGTCAGGTAGTAAATATTTATTGAACAAGATCTCATTATGAGTTATTGAATGATAAGATGAGGAAAAATTCAAAATGTTAGGTACAGTCCCTAACGGACCCAACGAATTCCTAATTGAAATCATGGGATCCTCTTGAATTGATTCTTTTGTCACATTGTGATATTTCGAACCATTCAATGGACCAATTCGAGAACAATTGGATGATGACAAAACCATAAGAGATTCGCCCTGGCCTTCCTTATTTCTATTCAGCAATGTACGAATAGTTCCTTGATGTTGGCTAAGTGATTGAGTCTTCGCCTTGGAAAAAAAAGGATTGGTATTGATGCGATCTGATCCATTATTAGGAATCAATCCTGAACCCGCCATATCATTCTCTTTTCCAGTAGACGAAATAGGAGACTTCACCAAATCAATTCTTATAAAATTTCGAATCAGATCGTTTACCCTTACTTCAGCGAGGGAAGTATAAGCCTCTTCTTCTTCTATAGAACCAGCCCGGTCTTGATCCCAATTCAATACTAAGCAAGTCCGAACTAATTGAATGCTTGTGTGAAAAATTCCTCGAATGGGTTTGCCATCTCCATAAAGAATATAATTGACAACTCGTAGTTGCAAATTATTCTTTTCCTGCAACAGATCCTGGGGAAAAAACGTTGCTAGATTTATCCCATCGGCGATTTCATATGTCACTACGGGTCGGACTGAAACAAAATACTTTTTCTTGATAGGTGTGATCCGTTGGACATAGATCCAATTTTTGAATTTTGATTCCGTGTTTTTTACCCTTCCAGGTGGTATCAAGATGCCGCTGTACCGGGCTATATTATCCGTCTCTCCAGGAAAATGGATATCTCCAGAAGATATTTTCAATTCAATCCTTTTTTTTTTTTTCTCCACTCGGACCAAGCCGCCTACTTGACTTCTTATATTCAAAGTGATTCGTGTATCTACTCCAATGATACTATTATTCCGTACCATTATGGACGAAGATCTAGGTAAGATATGCACTTCTTCAGGAATGAAAAAAAATCGATTTACTTTGATTTGGATTTGGTATTTTGGTCCAAACTCTCTTGTCTTTCGATATTCAATTAAATCTTCTTTTTTTATTATCGAATCGACTTCTATGGTCCCATATTTGGCAATTCCTGAACTACTTCTTCTGTATCGGGGATCGTCGAAATAGGCAAGAATACTATTTCTACGTAAAATACCTTTTATGGGTATTTTAATCACGATACCAGGAGGCCTTAGTTCCTTCTCCTGTTCTTGATCATATTGGAATGGGATGATGAATCTATTTCTTCGCCTCTTCGCCAATAAATCAGAATTCTCGTGGAGAATAAGAGGATATATGGAATCCCAATTCCTGTTGGATATGATTCGATCAGGTCCTGAATAATAAGAAACCCTCCCCCTTTTTTGATCCCACCCAAACAATTTGTGTCTCACTCGATCATTATTCATCGAGAGGTCAGAAATATATCTCTCTTCGACATAAAGAGATTGAACATTCATTTGATCTTGATCCTTGTGGAGTGGAAAAGGCACTATACTGGATCTGCATGGACTTCCTGATAATACCCATAAATGACTTGTTTTGGGTAAGAGATGAACATTACCATGCGTATATTCAGGTGTATGGTACACATCGGTACTCCAGTGCATCTCTCCCTCTGAGTCAGAATAAATATGTTTTTGAACCCTCTCCTTTAAAGTGGATGTTCCAGCGCGAATCTCAGCAATCACTTGTTCTGATTCTACATATTGATCGTTTTGAACCAAAAGAAAACTTTTTGGTGGAATATTCACTTTATGTATAATATCCTGACTCTCAATAGTTACATGCAGGTCTATATGGCATAGAAAAGCGGGATGTCCATGACGTGTACGTGTGGGATGAACTAAATCCTCATTGAATTTAATTTTTCCATTAGAAGGAGCTCGTACATGTTCTGCGATACCGCCTGTGAATACTCCACCGGTATGAAAAGTTCTTAATGTTAGTTGAGTTCCCGGTTCTCCAATTGATTGACCCGCAATAATACCTACAGCTTCTCCTAATTCGACCAGGTTACCGTGAGTGGTACTCCGACCATAACATAATTGACAGATCCAAGATGTACTCCTGCAAGTGAAGGGGCTTCGAATATATATTGGTTGTGCCCGAGAGGTTATGAATCGATTGACAAGTCCAATCCCAATATCTTGATTTCGAGTCGCAATGCATCGCAGACCCATATATACATCGTTCGCTAATACGCGACCAATTAGTGTTTGGATAAAAATCCTTTCCGTCACCCCAACCCCATTTCGAGGACTTACGGAAATACCTCGGATAGTGCCACAGTCCGTTCTACGTACAACAATGTGTTGAACTACTTCAACAAGTCTACGCGTGAGGTATCCAGCATCTGATGTTCGTACAGCAGTATCCACAACTCCTTTGCGGGCTCCGTAACAGGAAATGGTATATTCCGTTAAAGAAAGCCCTTCGCGTAAATTGCTTTGAATGGGCAAATCAATCATTTGTCCTTGGGGATCCGACATTAATCCTCTCATACCTACTAATTGGTGGACCTGAGATGCATTTCCTCTAGCTCCCGAAAAGGACATTATATAGACTGGATTAAAAGGATCAGTCATCCTGAAATTTGGATTCATTTCTTGTCTCAAATATTCACTTGTAGCATACCATATCTCAATTGATTGGCGTAATTTTTCTACTGCGTGTACATTCCCATAATGATGGTGCTTTTCCAAAATCAAACTTTGTTGTTCCGCATCTTGTACTAACCATCCCTTAGAAGGCGTTGTTAAAAGATCATCAATTCCTAATGAAATTGATGTCAGAGTGGCTTGCCGGAAACCCAGAGTCTTTACTTGATCCAGAATGTGTGATGTATATGCCATTCCAAAATGATCTATTAATCTACTAATAAGTCGTTTCATGGCAGTTCCATCTATCGCTTTATTGTGAAAGACCAGATCGGCCCGTTCTGCCATAAGTACCTCCATATTCCGGTGAGTAAGATTCGACAATGAGTTTCAGTCAGTGATTCGAAGACTTATTTTCCTTTTCCTCGATCTTGATTCACGTACAAATTTTGGAATTGTGATACCTGTTGAACCGGAGATATCCGTATTCTCACGGGTATCACAGAATTACTCAGGTACCAGATCAATAGGTCCGACAAAACCCTTGTATAGCTTCTTCTATTTCTCGATAAAAAGAAATATGACCAACAGTGGTTCGAATGTATATACAAACGATTTCTTTTTTTACGCTTTTTACTATTCGATAGTGCTCGTGAATCTCATGGTAGATACCCAAAGATTCATATTGAACTTCAATGGGAACTTCTCTATTTATTGAGGCAATCACGCATTGATCTAGCCGCCACCGGAGCCACAAAGGACTGTATAAGTCGATTCGTTTCTGACGATAAGCTCCAAGCGCATCGTAGGAACTACAAAAATAAGGTTCTTTCTCTTTTGTATACTTATAGTTATTATCGTCAACTATTTCATTTTGATAGTTTCTGTAGTTACATGGATTATACCTATTTGTACAAATACCTCGGCGATTCCCAATCGTTAGTACATAGAGGCCAATAAGCATATCTTGAGTTGGTACAGAAATAGGATCTCCAATAGCCGGAGACAAGAGATTCATATGAGAAAACATAAGTAAACGGGCTTCCGCTTGAGCTTCCAAAGACAAAGGTACATGAACAGCCATCTGATCCCCATCGAAGTCTGCATTGAATCCCTTACGAACTAATGGATGTAAACAAATAGCACGTCCCTCCACTAGAATAGGTTGGAACGCCTGTATGCCTAATCTATGCAAAGTAGGTGCTCTATTCAACAATACAGGATGTCCTTCCATAACCTTTTGAAGTATTTCCCATACAATTGGTTCTTTTTCCCGAATTTTACTTTTAGCAATCCCTATGTTGGAAGCAACATGTTGTCTGATTAGACCACGAATTACAAATGTCTGAAAGAGCTCTATTGCTATTTCTCGGGGTAATCCACATCGATGTAATGAAAGCGAAGGGCCCACCACAATGACAGAACGACCCGAATAATCGACCCGTTTACCAAGTAGAGTCTCGCGAAATCTTCCCTCTTTGCCTTCAATTACATCTGAAAAAGACTTGTAAACTTTATTGTGACCGTCCCTCATTGGTTGTCCGCGGATCCCATTATCAAGAAGTGTATCTACGGCTTCTTGTACTAATTTTTCCTGACACATCACTGATTCCCCTGGCGTAGATCTACTTGTTGTTAATGGATCAATAAGAGTATTATTCCGATAGATAACTCTTCTATAGAGTTCATTAATATCCGAACTCATTGGTTTACCCCCATCTATCTGAATGATTGGCCTCAACTCGGGAGGAAGAACTGGTAATAGGCACAAAACCATCCGTTCTGGTTCTACATTTGTTCTAAGAAGATGCTTAGCCAATTCCATGCGTCTAACCAAAAAATCCTTTCTTCTTACGATTTTTTTATCTTCCCATTCATTCTCAGCGGATCTTTCTTCCCCCAATTCCTTCCATTCTACCAATGAACGATCTGTAATAATTCGCAAATCCGGGTCGGCTAATTGTTCTCTGATAGCACCTGCTCCAGTAGATATTTCTCTATTTCTAAATAGATTGAAGCATTGGGTAGTAAAAAAAAGTGGGATGCTGTATTTCCGGGATTGGATTTCATATTCGAATGAACCTCGTAATCGTAAGAAAGTGGGTTTTTTAGCTATGGGCCTAGCAAAAGAGAAATTGGGATAAGTTCCTATAGAATCCCCCCCTCAAAATCGGACGTGAAGGTTTCCTCTCATCCGGCTCAAGTAGTTGTACCAAATAAAGGGGTTCTCACTCCCAAATTTTACTCTAGATAAATCCCAAAACTACTCCTTACTCAAGTTCTCGGTGAGGGCCAATCCATATTTCATTGATTCACCTCTTCTCCTCAATGACTCATTCAATTACGACAAAGTGGAATTATTGAGTAGTCTCCTTCCCTTCGAATGATGAATTCTCTTAAATTAAAAGAAGACTTTGGAATTCATAAGGGATTTACTTGTCTATGTATCATTCCATTCGATCTTTTAGGTCCCTACTTCGCCTCGACGGTTATGCCATGGTGTCCCTTGAAGTGAAGCATATATGCGATGGATAGACTCCTGTAACCATGTAATATCTGCTTATTTGAACAGAACCTCTTTCTAAACTAAAAGAAATACAATGGCTGGTTCTAGTTTCACGAAAGACGCTTTTTTTACGAGGTACAACTAGAATTCCCTATTGATTGATCCGCTACGGAATCGACCATGGATCAATTCCTCTTTCATTTGGAAGTATTGAATAGACCCATAATTCTGAGCTTCATGTTACTTCTCCTAAGAGACATGTCAGAGCTGGAGGCATCCCAATTGGATTGAACGGGATGACAGTTTTTCATTCTGAACCTGTAGAATTGTAATTTTGATCAAATCACACATCGCAGTATACCAGGCCTTCTAATTCTTTAAGAGGTCTATCTGAAAGATTCGCGATATAACTGGGAAGACGTTTCAAATACCACACATGAGTCACTGGACATGCCAGTTTGATGTATCCCATTTGATATCTTCGTATCCGAGAATCAACAGATTCGACTCCGCATTGTTCACAAAATTTCGGGTCTTCTTTTTCATCCCCGATGACTCGGTAATTTCCACAAGCACAAATTCCACTTTTGATAGGCCCAAAGATTCTTTCACAAAACAATCCATCTTTTTCCGGTTTATTGCTTTTGTAATGAAAAGTATAGGGTTTTGTCACTTCTCCAACCATCTCTCCATTAGGTAGGATTTTGTTGGCCCAAGCAGTTATTTGTTGAGGAGAAACTAATCCAATTCGAAGTTGTTGATGTTTATATCGGTCGATCATAGAAGAAAAATTCTGATTCATTCCGATCAAGCTTCCTTCCTATTAATCTGGAAGTTCTTCTCAGATACAAGGAAATGCTTCAGTTCCAGAGCCAAAGATCGTAGTTCTCGAACGAGCAATCGAAAAGATTCTGGAGCACCCTCAGGCTTAGGTATTGTTCCTCCAACGATCGTGGTACCAAGTAGTTCCTGACGAGCTCTAATATGGTCGGATTTATAAGTAAGCATCTCTTGTAAAATATGAGCAACACCAAATCCCTCTAGAGCCCAGACTTCCATTTCTCCTACTCGTTGTCCCCCTTGCTTGGCCCTTCCTCTAAGGGGTTGTTGTGTAACAAGTGCATAATGTCCACTGGAACGTCCATGGATTTTATCATCTACTTGATGAATTAATTTCAGCATATAGGACTTTCCTATTATAACAGGTTGTTCAAAAGGATCTCCTGTTCTTCCATCAAATATTCTGCTTTTTCCAGGATACTCGGGTTCAAATACCCATGGATTTGCTGTTCGCTTACTGGCTTCATATAATTCAGGAAACACTAGTTTTCTCGAAGCCTCTTGCTCATATCTCTCATCAAAGGGTGTTATTCTATAATGTCTGTCCAGCAGATCTCCCGCTAACCCCAGCGAGCATTCAAAGATCTGTCCCACATTCATTCGTGAAGGTACTCCTAATGGGTTGAAGACCATATCAACTGGTGTTCCATCTTGCAAATAAGGCATATCTTGTCTAGGCAAAATTTTGGAAATGATACCCTTATTGCCATGTCTTCCGGCGACTTTATCACCCACTTTGATTTCACGTTTCTGTGAAATATATACACGAATTTTTTCTGGATTATAACTGGAAGCCCCTTTTTTCTGGATCCATCTCACATCAATAACTCGACCTCTTCCACCTATAGGTAGTTTTAGACAAGTTTCCTTTGCAGTGGATACTTGAATTCCAAGTATGACTCGTAATAATCTATCTTCCGGGGCATACGATGATTCTTTCGCTGTCTGAGGCGTCAATTTACCTACTAAAACATCACCCGTTTCCACCCAAGATCCGAGCATCACAATTCCATTTCTGTCTAAATTACGGAGCAAATGAGCTTCTAAATGAGGTATTTCGTTAGTGATCTTTTCAGGGCCGTGGCTTGTCACATGAGTCTGAATCTCATATTTCCGGATGTGAAACGAAGTATAAATATCTCCATATACCAGACGTTCGCTAATTAGTACTGCATCTTCAAAATTGTAGCCTTCCCATGGCATATGAGCTACTAATACGTTTTTTCCCAAAGCGAGTTCCCCACCAACTGTAGCCGCACCATCCGCCAAGACTTGTCCCTTTTTAACATATTTATCCCGATGAACCTGAGGTTTTTGATGCATACAAGTATTTTTGTTGGAACGCTGATACATAAGCAATGGAATGCTTATAGTGTCTCCATTCCCTGATAAAAGGATCTTTTCAGTATCGGTATAAATGACCTTTCCCTCGTGTTGGGCTATAGCTGAACCCCCCGAATCTAAAGCCGCTTGGCGCTCCAACCCAGTTCCAACAATGCATTTCTCGGACCGAGAAAGCGGAACTGCTTGACGCTGCATATTAGAACTCATTAAAGCTCGATTCGCATCATTGTGTTCGATAAACGGAATGAGGGAAGCTCCAATAGAAAAATATTGGAGGGGATAAATGCTTCGAAGATCAATATGTTCCCATGCAATAGTCACGAATTCTTGACGGTATCGGGCTGGAACGACCTGTTCGTCTTGAATATCCTGATTCAAGGCCAAAGAATTTCCTGCTGCTACCATTACCATATAGTATTCATCTCTCCTTGGTGATAAATAAACCATCTGTTCCTCTTTTGATCTCTCAGATATTTCATAAAACGGACTTCGTATAGATCCCCAATCGCCGATCCTTGCATGAATAGCTAAGGATCCGATAAGTCCAACATTGATTCCTTCGGACGTGTCAATTGGGCAAATACGTCCATAGTGACTAGGATGGATATCTCGTATGCGAAAACTAGCAGTTCGCCCTGTTAATCCTCCGGGACCCAAATAGCTTGATTTTCGCCCATGAACTATCTGTGTCAATGGATTAGTTCGATCCAAAACTTGAGATAAAGGGTGTAGACCGAAAAACGATTCATAAGTGGTTGTTAATGGAGTTGAAGTTACCAAGTTTTGAGGAGTCGGTATAAATTTATGCCTGATTGCTCCACATATAGTTCCTCGAACCACATTTTCCAAACGAACCAGAGCCAATCCGAATTGATCCTGTAACAGATCTGCTACAGAACGAATACGTTTATTTTTCAAGTGATTCATATCGTCAAGTGTACCCATTCCAAATTTCATTCCGATCAAATGATCTGTAGCAGCCAATACGTCTCGTGGTAATAAAAATGTATTGTTCTGGGGTATATCAATATTCAATCTCTGGTTCATATTTTGTCGACCAATCCTTCCTAATTCACATCTTTGTTGAAAAAATCTCTTTTGTAATTCCTTACAGAGGGACTCAGAAAATACCGGATCCCCGCCTACACAAGAAAATTGTTGATAAAACTCCAAAATAGCATTTTCCTTCGACCCAATTTTCTTTTTCTCTTTCTCATTCGGGAAATACAATAAAATTTCGGGGTAGCAAACATTGTCTAGAATTTCTCTTAGATTCGAACCCATAGCTGATGGTAGAACTAGAATAGAAATTTTTTGTTTCCTGCTCACACGGGCCCATATCCTTGCTTTTCTATCAATCTCTAATTCTGATCTTCCTCCCCGATCTGATATTATGGTGCCGGTATAAACAGAAATCCCGTTATGGTCCAATTCTGAACTGTAATAAATACCGGGGCTTTGCAATATTTGATTGATCACAATTCTGTATATTCCATTTACTATAAAGGTTCCCAGAGAATTCATTAGAGGAATGTTTCCAATAAACACGGTTTGTTCTTGCATATCTCTACCAACTTTCCAAATTAACCCCGCGGGTACATATAATTCAGAGGAATGTGTGAGTGATTCATACACAGCATCTCTTTCTTTTATCAAGGGTTCCGCCAATTGATATGTTTCCACAAGTAATTGAAATTCAATTTCTTGATCTGTATCTTCAATTTTTGGAAACTTATGAAGTTCTTCTGCCAAGCCCTGATCAACGAACCTACAAAATCCTTCAAATTGTATCTGACTAAATCCAGGTATTGTAGACATTCCCTCATTTCCATCCCGTAGCATCTTACTTAAGTTTTCCATTTCTCGAAAAATCCCATTATTGGATCACTCTTTATCGAACCATACGGATCGATCCAGCAATGATGGAATGTATATTCTGTTTACTGAATCACATGAAATTTTATCCAACTCCATATACGTATGAAGGAGGGATAAAGAGAATTTTGTACTTCAATTCGAATTGGTTACAAATGCAAATGGAAATGATATTCCTGTAACAAGGATTCTGGCACTTATTGAGTTGAGCTTTGTTTTTGTTATAGAATAAGAATAGAATAGGGTTGGGTCTTTTCGATCAAATTTCTACCTAATTTAATTATCTTATCTATCCATTATGATAATCAAAGTGGGTACCAGAAAAATAGATTGATTCAGAATTTGATCCTTCTTTATGATAATGATAGAAAGACAGAATAATCAGGAGCATTAAAAAGAGTTAACGCTTAGCTTAGCACTTATTTCGTTTCGTTGATTCCATGGTTCAGTTCACAGAAAGAAATTTTGATATTTTCTTATTTTCTATTTTGACCCATTTGAATACTGCATAGGAAGAGTTATATCTATTAGATTAAATATCTAAGTAAATGCAACGCAGATATAGCCATCTAGCTAGCCACATATTCCATCTTTTATCGTAGCTCCAATATATTCGTGCCATATCATGATTTATTTCTATTTTCTATTCAAAATATTCAAAGTTGGAACACGACGGTTCCCTGTAAGGATGTGTAAATAAAATACCTGACTAGGTGTGTAATAATTCTTGTTTGGGGTTTACATATACACAGAGTCGTTGTTATAATTATGATTAATTTCATTTGAATATGAATTGAATATTGAATCAATGTAATTTGAATTGAAAAGAATTGATACTAATTAGTTGTGTATCAATTTGATTCTCTTGTGCCATTAAGGAAACAGAGATCCAAGAACCGTTCATGAATTCAGATTCATTCAACAGTTAATGGTTCCAATTAGTCAGGAATTCTTTATTCTTCTGTGACTAGAAATTCTTTCTTTATCCTTTTCAATCTAAAAAGGAAGTCTTTAGGTGTTGTGATTGTGATAGACAATCAATCGAAGAAAAAAATTTCAACTTGATCAATCAAATAAAAGGTGCATTTTTGGAAAGGGATAAGGGAAAGGGGATTCAGGATCAAGATGAAATAAAATAAGAAATCATTCAGTGGAAAAAGTGTTTCCGTTGATTTCCGTGTCGTTTCGGCGGCATGGCCGAGTGGTAAGGCGGGGGACTGCAAATCCTTTTTCCCCAGTTCAAATCCGGGTGTCGCCTGATCAACAAAGGACTCGAAATCTCTTATCCGGCTGATATGACCCGCCTTATTTTTGCCCAGCATAAGCAAAGGGCTGTCAATACTTTATCTTCAGAACCCGGAGGTTCCATGAAATGAAGACTATAAATTGAAATCTTCATTTTTTCTTTCTTCAAAAATCTGCGTATCGACTTCCGTAATAAATGAGGTTTCATTTATTCACTTATTCATATTCGTACCCTTTCGATCGATTTTATTTATAAAATAAATAGTAAAATTCAATTCTTAGATTCATAAATACGAAAAAGAGTAAGGAAACGAAAATCTTGGGATCAAAACAAAGGTTGCTAAGGGCCTCTAAATCCTTTCGACTAGAATCCTGGAAGGGTTTATTGGAAGGACTATCAATCCTTCCTTTCCTAATCACTCTCTTAATCTCTACTTGTTGAATCGTGAATTAGATTGGATGATCCGATTAGGAATCAGAAGTTGTGTAAAGGAATGAAAATACCCTTATGCAGACTAGGATCTGAGTGCTTTCAATATTGGATAAGAAATAAATTGAAATAAAGGTAGAGAATCAAACAAAGTAGAATTCAAAACTTTTTCTCTTCGGTAACACCCGTCCAGGATCTATGTAATAGAGTGTCTCCCGATTCTTTCACAGAAAGAGAGACAGTACGGCTTAGATCAAAGAAAGGGGAGATAGAGGTATGTGATCAATAGTTATCTATCTTGATGGTACATCCTTATGTGTTATGAAACGCAACAAAACAATGGGTCTTACTATTCCTACATGAGTAACCTACCCATTGATACCCCCAATGGGGTAACTTTGTATCTCTTGTGCGTGCTTAATGCTTCCCGATTTCACTCTAAATTAGGAATTTTTTCCAAGTGGATACATTGGATCCGTTCGTCAGTAGCGTTGAGTCAGAATCCCATTTT